TTAGGTAAAATGTTGCTGTTTCTGTATGCAATAAACAAGAATTGTAGGTAGATGAGAAAGATGAATTTTAAAATGGCAAGTGTTTTTGAAAATGAACCTGGACATGACATGCTAAGGAGAATATTCACTTTCTGATTTACTTAAAGTTTGCTCGAGCTTCCAAGTTGGCAATGTTTTACCTGACCATGAAGAAATTTTACTACAGAAATCCAAATGTATAAATTTATAACATGTAAAATATATGTACACAGGCATAAATTTAGCATTTGTGGTAAAATTGCACATTTTAGTAACATACTAAATGAACAGTAGAAGACAAAACTGTACATAGTACAAAGGTAAAATTTCTGCAAATGTGAACGCATAATTACTACTAATGCAGATTTTTTTTTATATAAATTAATGTCATTCTTGTTTCTTGCAACTACATAGATAGGCCTATGCAGTTTTCTTTAAAAGATTTTTGTGGGTGGTTTGCCTTTAATCAGTAAATCAAACTGTTCTCATATAGCTGTCAACATATTCAAAATAAGAAAATAGTGAATATGGCAAGTGCAGAACTTTATAACAAAGTGTACTTTGGCAGAAATAATAATTTCCAGATAATTCTGATAACCAGTTAATAATCTTCCTGTTCATGGCTTTGGACTTTTCCCCCTTTTTCCTTGCAGGTAGCTGTTTGCATCTCCCCAAGAGTGCTTAATCACAACATAAAACTGATATAAAAACTGATGCAAAATGTGCACCACACTATTATTGTTTAACTAAATGAGAGACTATGCCCTTTAGAAAAATGTAGTTGGCGTATCTTTCTAGTTTTGGAGTTCAGCAGCAGAAATCAATTTTTTTTAAAAAAGAAAAAAGGTGGTATTACAAAATGACCCAATTGGTTTAATTGAGTCATTGACTCAGATGTGGAATACTCACACAATCTTATTCACAATCAATCATAAAAGCAGTAGATGCATAGCCTAGGGAAATCATTATTTCCATAACAGAAGTGAGTCTTTAAGGAAAGGTGTGTGATTTGACATAGGAATAGGCAAATGTGTATGAATTGTGTCAGAGGTTCCAGATATCTTGAATGATGTTTTGTAGTTTCCAGAATTACATATTGACATGTATGAGTATAAGCCAAGACGTCAGTCATTATGAGTGTACCAGCTAGTGAATATATGGTTATATGTTGCATGCATATCTACCACCACTCCCATCTAAATTGTCATATCAAGATATCTTTTTACATTGCGTTGGTAAAATTCTTTCTGCCTATGACAGCATAGCTTGCTTTGCCCTGTTTGCATCAGGGCCAGGCTCGGTAAGAAAACTGAGTTGATGTTGGAACCAACTGAAAGCATGCTTGATCATTCCTTTGTAGGCTTTTCTTTCTTCATGAGTTCATCTTTGTTTAGGGCCAAGAAGGAATGAAAAATCGAACATAAAATTTCTTCCAGTGAAATAGCTGTTTAAGAGGCTATCCTGTATGTTGATCCAGATGTTCCTGGATTGCCAGTAAATTTTTACCATTTTGCTTTTCTTGGCAGATACTGAAACAATAGCATTTTGGGCGATGACAACATTTTGATTTATTTCCAACTTGATTTGACCACGTTCACAGCAGGTCCAATCAGAAGAAAGCATGTTGGACTTGTTGTTTTGAAGCGCTTTTGATAGATTTGTTTTGAGAACTTGAAACTGAAAGTTTTATTTCAGAAAAGGATGCAAAAAGTCCCACATTTATTTTTTTTTGATTGCATGTTACAGTATTGCATATATGAATTTAATCTGATAAACTATGAAATAGCTGTTATTACTCTTTTCTAAAAATCACTGCTTTCTTCACTGAATATCATCATTTTTTTTATTTTTGCATTTCTATAGCTCAATGTTATGTACAATATAATACATTCACATACCAGCAAAAGACGTAGATCTGCACAAAATCAAGAAGCTTTTGACTTAGATGTCTATGTAAAGGATGACAAAGAAGACATAAACAGCTTAACTTTAAATGTGTGTACCAGGTAAGTAAATATATTAAGCTATCCATTCTCTTTTATTTACAATTTTTAAAATGACTTTTAAACTGATTCTCCCTTTAACTAATATATCTTTATAAGATATTTCAGAGAAATCAAAGTTTATGCATAGTACTCCATTATATTTTGCCAGGTTTTCTAAATGAATGAACGAATGATTGATTGAATGAATGAATGAATGAATGTATGAATGAATCAAACAAAAACTCCTACCAAAGTTAAAGCTTAGTTAAAGCTACTGTAAAGAGACAGCTCAGTTCACAAGTTCTTCCCTCAGGCTTTAGGGTATGTACAGCTTAGTTTGTGCTTTAGTCTTGCACCGAATGAGTTCTGTATTTTTACCTGGCATCTTTTTACTATTTTTAAAGACCTGTTTTTGTTTTTATGCCTTTACTAGCTGCACAGATATGATTAGGATAAGCAGCCATATAAACTTATAGCATAAAGAATAAATAAATATACTTGTCCCCCAATAAAACCTTGGCATTCCTCTGAACACAATGTAGGCCAGTCATTTCGTTGGCTTTCCTTTTTCATATTGGTTTGATATAAAATAGCAGTGGCACTTGAACTTATGTATCTCTTTACAGTGCTTTACAGCTCTCTCTAAGCGGTTTACAAAGCCAGCATATTGCCCCCAACAATCTGGGTCATCATTTTGCTAACCTCAGAAGGATGGAAGATTGAGTCAACCTTGAGCCAGTCAGGATCAAACTCCTGGATTGAGCAGTGAGTTAGCCTGCAGTACTGCATTCTAACCACTGTGCCACCACAGCTCTTATCTCTAAAATGATTATAACTATTTAAGTATTACCCAAGGAGAACTGTTTTTCTTCTACAATTATAGCAAGGGCATAATTAAAACCATGTTTGGTTATTTGCTTTCAACAGAGCTGGTGATTCACCCACAGGTGGTTTTATTTTTTTTAGACTCAGGCACCAACTTCAAACAACAGTACTTCCTATCATGTATTGTTAAACTTTGGAAGTCGCCATCACATGACATAATGTTGACTGCCCATTTGTGCTGTATTAAAAGAGACCAAAATTAAAGGACGATAAAGCTATCAGGAGCTATTAATCTCTTTAGCTATATATTATCCAAAGAAGTATATCTCTCATTGTCAGTCACTGAAAAAAGAAGAAAGGTGCTGCTGTTTACTTATCACTGGATCTTCTTAACGGCATGTAGTTGGAGAATGATGCCGGCCTAGCATGTCCTTTGCTCTGATCTTACATGATTGTTCTGCTCTTAGAGTGTACTGAATTCCTACCCAAATATGATCTGTGTTTAGTGATTCATGCTTCCAGACTCAAGAGCTTTGCTTAGGCAAGTGAGTCTTTTTGTAAATTTCCTCCATACGGGTAGCCCTTGATGTAACCATTTGTTTAGTGACTGTTTGAAGTTACAACAGCACTGAAAAAGATGACCTATGATTGGTCCCCCACTTACGACTACCACAGCACAGTCACATGATCAAAATTTGTGCACTTGGTAATTGGGATGTATTTACCATGGTTGCAGCATCCCAGGGTCATCTGATTGCCATTTGCGACATTTCCAGCTTGCTTCTGACAAGCAATGGGGCAAGCCAGAATCATTCGAGGACCTCATGCAGTGATTCACTTAAAAACTGTAGCAAAAAGATGGTAAAATCAGTCACTTTAACATTTTGCTTAGCAACGGAAAATCTGGTCCCAATTGTAGTCCTAAGTTGAGGACTACCTGGTAACAAGAAATAATTGTTTTATTCAGTTCCCCAGCATTCAGAGCACAAATCTGAGAGGTGCTTTGTTGAAAAATTATAGCAGAAATTTCCTGTTCATGTTAAATGGGTGTGTTCTGACATGCCATTAAAGAACTTTTGTTATTGCTGTTTGATGCTTTCACTTCACTTGTCCTCTCGGTAGTTCCTGTCATAATGTTACAGCTGGAAATCAGTATTTGTTTTTGATTTAGATATCTGGCTCCTTTAAAGTGGGTGGGGGAGTGATATATTTTATTTTTAAAATTTATAGGCCACCCATCTTACCACAGGATAACTCTGGAGGGCTTACAATACTATATATAGAAACACTATAAATAAAATTGCAGTGTGTAGTTATTTATGTTCTTCTATAGTTTTATTTTCCTCCAGTACAAACGGAGAGGCCTTTTCAATGTCTGTACTTTAATTCTATACTAATTAATAACACTGCATGCTTGTGTGTGCACATGTGCATCCACAGTTATTTCTATGTAAATTGTTCTTTTTTCTTCATTAGATATCTGGGCACTGGCTCATCTTCAAGAACTGGCATGGCTCTCATGGAGATTGGATTACTGAGTGGCTTCTCTTTGTCACCCAATTTTGTGTCATTAGATGACCCAGTGAAAAAAGTGGAAAAAGATGAAGGCAAAATCCATTTATATCTGGACTCTGTAAGTCGAAATAAGAACATACTGGTCAGAATGATAATGAAGCTTTGATTCAAAAACTAAAATTATGAAAGGGTTTTTTAAAATTTATCATTTAAAATAAACATTACATTTTGTCAACACTGTAGACAAAATTTTGAGGTAATTTAATTGGAATCCTCCAGTTCGTATTTTATGAAGTACACTTGTGTAAGTTTGGCCAAGCATTGTAAGAATATGTAGAGATAGATGTTTAAGGGTGAAAAGACTAAATTAAAATTATTAAGTTATAGGCTCTGATTGGAAGCCTTCATAGTTAAGGAAAAGAGAAACAGGTATGAAGAAGTGCTATAGCCAACTTGTTCTACTTGGTTTTTCTGTTTGGGGACCATACTGTGCCAAGATTAAGCAAACTAATAGTGCAAGCATCTGTGTGTTTACTCAGGATGAAGAATAAAGTATAAGATAGAGGCATAAAATGTGGATTCACATGGTACAGGTTGCCCTCGCTTAATAACCACTTGTTTAGTGACCATTTGAAGTTACAACAATGCTAAAAAGCGACTCAACCAGTCCATAAAGTTGCATGTTTTGCATTTCTGGAAATAAATAGTAAAAAAAATATTTAGATACAAAATGGCAGTCTCATAATCATGATTTGAGTGCTTGGCTTCATTTCATGATTTCTATTGTTTTATCAATATATAAAATACAAATAAAAATAGGAAATTAAGGGAAGGAAAAAGAGAGGGAAAGAAAATATGAGGTACAAGAGAAGAAAAAAAGCATTGACTTCTGACTCTTTTTAGCACAGTACAAGATAACATTCCAGCTTCAAGTTTTTACTTTTATACATTAGTATATAACTAGCCATTTCTATAACAACAAATTTATCTAGTTGGCAAAATCAAAGTCAAAGTTTCATTTTTTTTCATCACAAGCACAAAATCCAGAAGTGATATCCAAATAAAAAACATAATTAGCCACCTAGAGCAAAGCAGACCAAGCTACATATTACTGAAAATAATAAACTACAGCCACAACTTTCTACCCTTATGTTTCTCCGTTAACTTTTTTTAAAAAAAAGATACTCCACACTTCCTTATTTTTGCTTGCCTTAGCAGCCTTCTTCCTTATTGTTTAACATTGAAGAAATCCCCAAAATAGCATAGATCTTCAAAAAGGAGTAACAGGCTGTTGCTAAAGAAAGCCTTTTTTAGCTTAATAAAGATGAATAGTCCTTAAAATGATTAAGAAATGAAAGGCACAGTTTACTGTCCATTTGAAAAATAGATTCCAAAACAGCTGCTTCTTCAACAACTTGCAGCCCTGCACCCCAGCTTTTGGCATGCAGGCTGCTTTGAAGCACAGCTCCTGAAGCTACTTGCAGACCTTTACTGTATCAGAGGATCTTGAGGGATAATTCTAGGACTTTCCCCTAACTCTGGAGAGTCATATAAACTAAAGGAATGCCGGTTCCTTCTGTTGGTGGTTGAAAAAGCTACAGCCCAGGGAAAGATCCTTCAGGGATCCTTCCCTGGGCGTGCAGTCAGTGGGCCATCTTTTCACTGGAAGTCATGATTTGGGTGCTTGGCAACAGTGCTCACTTATGCAGTGTTGTAGTCACATGATTGCCATTTGCAACCTTCACAGCCTGTTTCCAATAAGCAAGGTCAATGGGAAAGCCTGCAGAAAGTTACAAGTCATGTTCACATGATATTGTTCTTAAAGACATTGCTGTTGAGCAACAGAGTTGTTGGTCACAGCTGCAGCCAATAAGTATAATGTAACTGGTTTAGTTTAGTTTAGTCCTCATTCAGCAACCCAGTCACTAAGCGGAAAATCATGTGACTATGACGGTGCTTACGATTCTACTTCAGGTTTTCTTTGCTTTACAGTGTCAGAAGGATATGAACAAACAGACAGATGAGCCCAAAAGGTGGGGAAGGTTTCCAGAATGTGACTCACAAAGAAGCCTGATGAAAGGGCAAATTTTATAGCCCTTTTTTCCCTAATCCTCACCTTTTGGAATGTTCATGCCAGTGTTGAAATAATTAACAAGAGGAAAGTTGATGTTTGTCTTGACAGGAAGGGATTACAAGACAATAAGTGGGTAAACAATGGAGAATGCACATTGAAAGGAATGTGGTGTTGGTTGTTTGCCTAGCAGTTCAGGACTGGGTGCTCCAGAGCTTAAAAGGCAATCAAAAGCCAAAAGTGTCAGTTACAGGCAGCAGCTGCAAGCTGGCTAATTAAGGTCACAATTAGCACATTTGTGCCTCAGAGAAAAGCAGTTCAGGAAGTGATAGCTTGTTTAAGCAATCCTTCCAGTATGGAACTAAAAGGGGTCAGGCATAGGATAATATGCAGTTGATCAGTTGATCACAGGCAGTTGATCTATCCATATTTACTTTCAAAAACAAGTAGGAAAATAAGAATAAATTTTGGTAAGCATGATTCTGTAGCAGATATGGATTGTTGTGTTTATATGTGTGAATCGGCTCTTGTTTGTGATTCTATAACACAATATGTCTACTCTTGTTGGTAAATTACAGATAAGATTGCCAGAAAGGACAGCCATTTGTAAATATATAGCTGTATCTACTGTTCTGGGTAATGCAATTAAAGATGGATGCGTAGAAAGTTTGTTTTTAAAAAATATTAAACATCTAGTTTTTCATATCCATTCATTATGGAAGCATATAGTCCTCTCTGAAAATTATCTTTTTTTTTTTTCAGTTAAACGAAACACAGGTTTGTGTGGCTATTCCAGCTGTGAGAGACTTCAAAGTGGCAAATACCCAGGATGCTTCAGTGACCGTGATGGATTATTATGAACCCAGTATGTGTCAATCACTTTTATGCATTCAGTGCTCAAGTATGCAGTTTAGGTGGGAAATATGAACTGTTATATGTTAAGGAAGGACCAGATTCAATTAGTTACAGCAAAGACTTTTCATGAGAAATAAGCATGACTGGAAACCACAGGCACTTAAATAATGTTAATTCTCTTAAACCTTGAAGAAGGGGGAGGTGGTGAGGAGAGGGCAGTGTTCGGTGGAACATAACGTGCATTAAATTTATGTTCTCTGAAAGATTGATATTTTAGGATATAATTCTTCAAACAAGAATGATTTTGTTACTTAAAGCATTCCTCATTTCAATAAATTTAGCAACAGTTCAGATTCATGGATGCATAGTAAAAAAGGACTTTTATTCATGTGCTCCAAATAGAAAATTGAAATTAGGGCATCATACCTAACAGCAATAGCAATAGCACTTAGACTTATATATTGCTCCATAGTGCTTTATAGCACACTCTGGGTGGTTTACAATATCAGCATATTGTCCCCAACAATCTGACAAAGTACAGTGGTGAAGTTTTATGATAGTTTTGCTTCTGATATTGTTTCAGCAGCATGTAAATATCATGGAATAATAGTTTGTTTGAAATGTTGGGCCTTAACAACTTTGCTTTTCAATTGTTCGTAATAGGGAGAAGAACAGTGAAAAGCTACAACTCCCCGGTGATGCAGAGTTTGTCATCTTGTACTTTCTGTGAAGATGATGAATGTAATTTTTGTAAAACAGATGGCTGTTTATCAGTTTCTCTCTCTTTTGAATTGTTAGTACTACTAGTGCTATCAATTTGCTATGTAGTTGCCTGATTTAATAACTGGGTGACTGACATTTATTGCACTGCTGAGAATACCATTGATTGTATTTTCCTGCACAAGGAGAGTCTGGATCCAGTAAAAATTGACTTATGGGTCTAAACTCTGAGCAAGAATTTGCTCAAATTAAATAAGAGTAAGTTGCTCAGAATGGATAACTTCACATTTGTACCATTTTTGTTTTCATTGGCATCTTCTGTACTGGTGTTTCTCACCCTTGGCAATTTTAAGATGTGTGAGCTTCAAATCCCAGAATTCCCCACACAGCAAATTCACACAGTTTAAAATTGCCAAGATTGAGAAACACTATTCTTTATCTAGTAAATACTTAGGGATTTGCTGCAAAATTTTATATGCTGCATATATTTGCCTGGTAATGTCTGAAGAGCTCTTACTTCCAATAAATGTATATAAGATTGCAACCTAAACTATTTTCTCCAGTGAAATAGTGGAAGTTCTAGACTCTAACCTTGGCTGTGAATTAGATAATGTTAACTTAAAATTAAATCACTTTGTCTAAATCTTTAACCATTTTTTTTTTTAAATTTAAAGCATGTCTGAATAAGGCCAAACTGATATTCAGGAAAAAACGGAAATGGAGTATATATTTTGTATTAGCTTCTTATTTTTATAGTAAATTTGAGAGTTTTTTAAAGGAATATTTTTTAGTTTTAATACTTACACCATATAGTATTTAAGCATTACATTCCTAATTTATAGGATTTAGTTTATGGTACATTTCAGGCTAACACTTAATTTATAAGTGTTATTGATTGGCACAGGATTGAGTCTCATCTTCAAAGCAGTTTAATAAGTACTTTGGCCAGATTAACACTCATTGCAATAATTACTTATTTCCTCAGTTATGTTCTAAAAATTTAAATTCATCTTATATGTATTGATTGTACAATGTGCACATAAGGAGACATACTAAAGTACAGCTCAAAAAAGCATTTTGAGCAGCTGATTATAATCATTACTTGAATAGTCACATTATGAAAACTATGCTAAAAACAAAATATGCCTCATTATGTGTTGGAGTATGTGAATTTCGTATGTGTATTAAAAGTAAATATAAGAAAGCAACAGACTTACGATCCAGGTTTCTTTTTAATTTGAAATTTTGTATTTTTTTTCAACAGTACGACATTTACTGCTTGTCCTAATTGTTGCTAGAGAATAAGATAAAGCAGTTTAGTGGTTTGTTTCAAACTGAACCCATCTTGTCCTGCCAATCCTATGGACAAAAAAACAAAAGTTGTTGTGAAATTAGAAGACTAGTCCAATAGGAACTCTACCTCTGAGGAATTTTAAAGTGGTACAACTTTTATGATAAGTTACTCAGAGATAGAAGACCTTGCAAAGCAAGAAAGAATAGCAGTAAACGGTAGGCAGTTCTCGCCTTGCAATCATTTGTTTAGTGACTGTTACAACCACACTGAAAAAAGTGACTTATGACCATTACAACATCAAACTTTGGATGCTTGGCAACTGGCATGTATTTATGACGGTTGCAAGTGACCTGGGGTCATGCGATCACCTTTTATGACCTTCTGACAAGCCAAGTCAATGTGGAAGCCCAATTCACTTAATAGCTGTGTTACTAACTTAATAACTGCAGTGACTGACTTAAGCAAGAAAGGTCGTAAAATGGGGCAAAACTCACTTAATAACTGTTGCTTAGCAACAGCAATTTTGGGCTCAATTGTGGTCATAAGTCAAGGACCATCTCTATAGGAACAAACAAAATATTGACATTGAGATGAGTGGAATCAAGTCTCTGTCAGTCTAAATAGAACACCTAGAGCCCAATCTGAAGTAAAAGTGGCAGTGTTTTTGTCACCAAATCAGATTGAAATTGGCTTCCATCTTCCTTAAAAATAAGGTTCAATAAATGAATGAAAAGAAAACTTGAATCAGTATAGAGTAAAACTGCATCCTTGTTCACAAATGCCAGTATTGGTAGGCTGCCAGTGATGCAGGACTATCAAATATCAACTATATATTGCAACAGTCAAATTCACCTAGATAGGAAGTGAAGCACTGGATTAAAATAATGATGTGGTCAGGCACAGGTTTAAATATTTAGAAAGGAAACTATGAACAAATGTAGACAAATATATGGTGAATATTAAGATCCATATAACAGAACTTTAAGCAACTTTAGCTGCATTACATCTTAAGTGCATAAAATCAATTCTTAAGGGCTTTGGCATATCTGCCTATTTTATTTGGCACTGTATGCTTTAATTTGAATATTATATTGAATAGCCCTGAGGAAAAAGTGCATGGAATAAAGATTATATACACACACATACTTGGAAATACAAATTTCTCTATTCATATATGTATACATCTGCCTAACATTGAATAAAGAAATGTGTGTTGTGGCTGCAAAAAAATACATGTTTAAGATTTCAGGATTTTGTACATGTATATGAGAATGAGGTATTTACTTATGTTGTTATTCCCTATTAAACTATATATTTGTGCTGAAAAATTAAAATATGCATTCTTACCAGATCATTCTTGCCACTTCATATATAGTTTAATAAATATATCCATAGGGCTGGTCCATATTGAAATAAACACAATATTTTTTTTGAGCCGGCCCACTATATATTCTTCAAAAGAAAGCACTTTTTGACTGTTTTGCTTAGTAACAAAAATTCCATTGTTAAGTAAGAACTACTTGTAGGTAGGACTATCAATTTATTAATGTTCAGTGGGGACTACCTGTACAGCTATAGGGGGAATCTACAGAATACAGAAGGCTGGATCTTGGATCCTTGGCATTTAGGAGAAATTCAAAAATGACTTCATTATATGCTGGGAGGACAGAAAGATGGAGTCATGATTGCAGGGAATCAGAAAATGAGGAGCCAGAATGAAGGACAGAATACATGAGTAAGTTGTTGGTTATGCACACAATTATCTTAGATGCTGATATATAAAATAACAGCAATTTTAAAATGCATTACCACATTATGTGCATTAGCCCTTTTCTATCACTAGATGATCGCCAATGAAACATGAAAGACTTTCTCTTTTAATTATTTAACTTCCCAGATGAAAAAGAAGAATGTGAGATTATTTTGCATTACCAAATAATTACAATAGAACAGCGGCAGTGGTGGTATTCAGCCAGTTCGCACCAGTTCAGAAGAACCGGTAGCTATTTTTTTTTGCCCAGGCCCAGAATGGACTTCCGGAAGCGGCATCCACACAGAGAACTGGATATTCTCATATCTGAATCCCACCACTGAACAGCCATACTATACTATTCACCCACATCACCATATGGTTTGGGTCCCTCTGTAGAATATTTCATGGTTACATGTCAATTGGCCACATAAAAGGAAAAAGTAATCCCCAGGCAAGGAAAATGCCACAGTCTGTTTTCTAAAAGTATCTTCCCCCACAGCCATTGCAGGATATTTAGCAATTCAGTAATATTTTTTATGCAAATTGCAAACACATGTCAACTGATAATAGTTAAACTACTGGAAGATTTTGTTGTGCCCTAATGGAACAAAGACCCAAGTTCTTTCCCACTTAAAGAGTGGAGGGAAAAACCAAAAGGATATGTAATCCTCTTCCCCAAATAATTCAGGTTTATGCTTTGCTTTTGGATCATCCTCAAAGGAAGAAAACAGTTGTTCTGCCTCTTGACAGACCCCCATTATTTGGCACAACCCGCCTCTTTAAAAATTACTGATAAGACCTAGGCACTGCTCAAATGCTAGCATTTTTAATTGAAAGAGTTCCGAAGAAAGAACATTTGAAAAAAGGCTATTGAAGCTCTACTTTGGCTTCTGTGTTGTTGCAGAAGGAAAGCATGCCCAGGAGATGGCTATGGGTTGCCAGAAATGACATTTGTATATCCTCAAAGGCAGATGGGAGAAGCTGAGAATTTCTCATTTGGATTTTGATCTGGACAATACAGGAAATTCAGGATTCAGAGCATCCTCTTTTGAGGCCATTTGTTGGTATTTTCTGAGCCTGGGCTAATGATCCTGGAGATATTCATCCCTATTTATTTCTGCAGCATCATCCTCTCTAAAATGTTGTACAAGATGAAAAAAGATGGAAAAGAAGATTGCTTATCTACTCCATAGGCACTAACAAGATAAAAGTATGTACTTGCTTTTAAAAGTTCTAAGAAACTAATTAGAACAACCTCAATTCTAATTCAGCTAAGAAAGTTATGAATAAGGTGATCTGGTGTAGCTCTCTAGGCTGCATTAGAATCAAGTAAAAGCTTTCCCTTGATAAAATAATGCACCTCAAAAATACATGGGGAACAGAAAAACACAACTATGTTCTAAGGCAAATTCTTCAAAAAGTGGCTTAATTCATAATTAGCATTTTAAAAAGGCAGTAATATTTTATCATTAAAGCTCAGGGAGGATGAGATGAAGATTGGAAATATCCAGATCTCAGGTCTCAACATCTCAGTTTTTGCTTAGCTACTGCTCCCTGATATTTTGGGCTGGTCGTTTAAGGGAATATCATTCCCCATTCCTGACAATCAGAGCCAAGTAGCCAAAAGGATATTTAGATAATAGATGCATAAGACTGACTACTTCATTCCTCTTAAGACCCCTTAAGAAGGGGTCAAATTACGGCCTTGTAACCTTGGGATGGCCTTCTGAGTTGTTCCAAAAGTTGCTGCCGCGTTGTAACAAAATGAAACACAATAAGAAAACTATTACATATAAGAAAAGTGATCACATGAGCTATATTTAATTAATTAAATTTAAAATAGATTGAAATTAAAAATATAGTTGAGCCACTTTTTGTTCTAACCTCACCATTCAAAAACCAAGTTTGGTTCAAAAAAGGTCACATGCCTCCTACCATTCATAATATGCAAAGTATCGTGTGATGTAAATGAAATCACAAAAGAAACACTTCCGTTTATAGTGTATTTGTAGTCAAATATGTCACCAGTGGAATTCAATAAACTATTACCGAGTCCTCCTAGGCATGCTTCAGTTCACATTTGGATTATAAATTACCAAGCCAAGTCAATCATTTTTACTGCTTAGAAGATAAATAGCATTTAACGAACTGTGCTTAGCACAACTACATAAATAAAAGTTCACAGATGTAGGGCATAACTCTGTGCAAGTGCATTGCATATCTCCCTGGGATTCTATATATTTGAAAAGGGTAATAAATCCAAGAACAAAA